ATCACGAAGTCTTTGAACCAAATTTATTTCATTAGATTCCACTTCTAGACTTCTTCTATAAATGAAACTTTCCCATGCCCATTTAGTTCCACTTATGTAATATGTTTGTTCAACACGATCCTTCAGTTAAATCATTAAAGGGCACCAACTGCCTTACTATTACATGCCTCAAACATTCTGGCCCAGTTTCCCTCTGCAGCCTCCACTTCCCTTCCCCCATGATTCACCATACACCAGTTCCCCTCACCCTTTAGCCTCTCCCGTCTTCCCCGAACCTCTTTCTGCTTCAGAGTAGTCATACATCCTGTTCATCCTCCTCATCTTAGCCTGGCTTATCCTCATCCTTGAACCCTAGCCTAAACATTGTTTCTGAAGGAAGGTCTTTCCTATAACTTCAGTCTACTCCTCCGTGCGCTAGATCAAGATCTGGGGTTATGAATTCCCACAGCTTGATAGTTGTCTTTCATGGCACTTAGCGTGATTGCCACAATTTTCAGTTCCCTGTGTAATGACTTGTTTAGCATCTGTCTCTTCTACTAGACTGTAAACCCCATTATGGCAGAAGTGGTGCTGACACAGTGAGATGGTACCTGGCACACAGTAGATGTGCCATGAATACTTCTGGAATGAATGAATAGGAGGAACCTACTGAGAATCTAAAGCTACTTGCACTTCATTTCCATCCACTTGGGTGATGCCTGACTGGAAAATTTTGGCCTTAAGTTTATTTAAGAAAGTGTCAGAACCCCTGCCCCCTTTCTTTTTGCCCTCCCCATATCCCACTGCACCCCAACACACACACCTCAGGGAGTCTGTGAAAACTGCCAATGAAAGATACTACTTTATACTGCAGAATTTTGTCGCATATTCTGGAATTTTATAGATAATATACACTTGTAGTTTTGCCCCCGTGGTTACTAGAAAGGAGAATGTTCTTAATGGAACTTGAATGCTCCTGCCCTTCCCATTACCAGGTGATGGTAAGACTAATGATTGAGTAGAGGAGAATTAGAAAAATAACTAGCCATAAATTAAATCCTACTATGATCTAATTCTACTGAGATTCTTCTTTACAAAATACAAGCAGCTCTGCCTAAGTTCTCCATTTGAACCCAAAGGTGTACTTTCATTCAGCTTAGTGCACACCTTTGGGAAAAAATATAGCTCCAAATTATGAAACTAACACATTTCCACATTTCTTCTGATAAACTGAAGTAGGTCTGGCACCACCCTCAGGCATTCTACAGAATTTACAAAACAAAAAAAATATTAAAAATCAAAAGAAAAAGGAAAATCTAAAAGGCAATCTCTTATGAATATAACCCTAGTAGAAAATAAAATATCTTTGACTGATGCTGTCTGTAGTAAAATGGACACAGGGACAAGTCTAAATGGTTTATTAAGTAAGAAAGACTGAACATATGAAAAATTGTTCTCTCCTAGAATATTTCTAACCCACACATGTAATTTATATCATGGCACAATTCGACAAAAAAGGTCTACTGTTTTTGGCAAAACATGCTTACATGCTGCAAACATGCTTAATTAGGATGCAAGTTGAAAGCACAGTTTGATACGCTTGACAGCCATGCTTTAGACAGCAATTTCTACTATTATTATTATTATTTTACTTATGGAAACCTATGAAAGGCAGAAATATAGAAGCAGAAGACAAAGTTACTAAAGACATTTTAATCTCACGATTCTCATTTGTGTGTCCACATCACAAGTATTATGCTCTGAACATGCCCAACTTGGAAGAGTAATGAAAGAAATTGTTTTGGGAATGAAAGCTTACTCCCATGGATATTTGAAAAAGATGTCAGCATTTAAGTTAATCAATATCTGTTTCTAGTGGGCTTTACTTTGAGAAGTGATGGCCTCTTTCTGGGAAAGAAGGATAATTCTTTAAACTGACATTCCATTCCATTTACTTTAAGATGTAAATAAATGCCTCCATTAAATGAAGGCCATGGTCAGTTAACATCCAGAGCAGTCTTTTCTCTATTGCAGCTACTTACTCACCATTCAGTAGGAACAGCTAGATCCTAAAAATAAATCTAAGAGAATATAACACAGGGCACCATTTTCAAACTGGTAATCCCAGTTTTTCCAGGGCTGTGTCTTATAATTCTGTGTTTTTATGGATTATAGATTAAGGATGTAAAAAGGGAGGTCCAGTTTACAGGTCTGAATGAGGCACAAGAGGAACCTGGTTATATTACCTGAATATTCTAGCTATTTCACTCAAATTTTAGTTACCATTTTTAAGAGGTAACTATGTGTGACAAAAAGGTAATATGTAGAGTTAAAGCATTATATGAAATAGTGGAAAGAGTTCTGGCCTCTGTTGCCTTCCCTCTACTCGCTATATGACCTCAGATAAATTATTTCAGTAACTTTCAGCTCTGGGCCCTAACTTCCCATTTGGTTGCCTCATCTGCAAATGACAGTTATTGTGATGAGGATCAGGGAAAAGCATGTAGTCTACAAAAATGGTTTTGATAGTTTGAAAAGGGATATAAGATTGGAATGTTTCTGTGATAACTTGAAAATTATATCTACCAGAGATCACCAATCTGAAGAGTTACAAGTTAACAACTTCAGGAGTGGATATCTGACCTGAGTTATCTGGGTTTACTGTTTTAAGTTCTTATTTTACCTCTGTAGACATAGCCTTAGAGTTCAGTAAAATGTGAAAAAGTTAACTAGGTACTCTATTTTGTGAGATTCTATTAAAATTTTCAGTGATTTATTTTCTATTATAAAAATAATACACGCTTATTTTAGAAGCTTCCAACAGCTCAGAATGGTGTAAAGAAAAGGACTTTCCCTCCACTGCTGCTTGCTTTCTCTTGCTCTCCCTCTTTTGTGCCCTTCCCCTCCCCTACCCCCTCCCTCTTTTCCTCCCCTCCTCCTCATCCTCGCTCTCTGTCTCTGTCTGTCTGTCTGTCTGTCTCTCTCACACACACACACACGCACGCACGACTCCCCATTTTCACTTCCCAGAAATAACTATTATGGACGGTTTTTTATAAAATCGAATACTTTGAAAATGGAAAACACTGTAAAACAATTTATGCATTTAAAAAAATTAAATTAAAGAAAAATCTAGAATTATGCCATGCCACTCAGAGTTGGTGAAATCTCAACTTCCCTTGGAAAACAGAATGACCAATTGCTGGGCGAGGGAACTGAAACAATAGTCTTGTAAACAAACTGTCCAAAGCTTATGGCTAGAGACGGCCCACAGCAATGATGAGACAAAGCCTTTAAGGAACAGCACCTCCTCCTTGTGGTTAACAACTTGATGACTTTCTTCAACATGTTTTAATGATTATCATACCTTCCCCTTCACAAAGGATTGATTTATTATGGTTTAAATTTAAAGAATACTGGTTTCCTAGTTTTGAATCAGGCTTATATTACACAACACATAAAATCAGTGACTTTGTTGTAGGCAAGAAAAATCACAGTGTTCATTTAAGTTCAAAAGGAATGGTCCTGGGGAAAAATTCCTCGTGCAGGTCTACATGCTAGCTAACTGGTCTCATCACCAGCTTTGCCACCTCTACTCCTTTCCCCATAGCTGTCATCAGCACCACCGCTCTTAACACTTCTACGGCACCTTAAAATTCACCAACAACTTCACATGTTCTTTATTCTAATCCTCAAAACAATTTTATCAGGTAGAAGGTACAATCTTAGCTTTTCAAATGCAGATAAAAATCTAAAGCTCAGAGAAGGGAAGTGATTGGCCCAAGATTATTCATCCGTAAAGGTATACTTGCCCAGGTATACTGATGACTTTCACATGTCTATCTCCAACTCAGAGCCCTCCTGTCAAGCTGCAGGATGCACAATCAATACTTAACATCTGCACTTTAGAATTCAAAATGTAGTTAAACTCAGTTGCCAGGCTAAGTCCATAATATTCTCCCATAAACTTGTTTCTCATTCAGAGGATTTCTTTCTCAGTGACTGGCACCATTATTCTTTCAGTTGTTCAAGCCCCAAACCTAGGCATCCCCTCTACCCACCATCCGTTTTCTCAACATACACGTATACACCATCACCACATCCTATAGATTTTGCCTTCTGAAGATTTCTCAAATCTGTCCATTTTTCACTGTCTCCACTATGAACACTGTAGTCCAATACTCCAGTATCTCTCATTGAAATCATTTCCATGTTACACCTTGCCTTTCCCTCACCACCCCGATTCTACTCATTCTCCACATGCAGCCAGAGTAATCAGGTAATTCCTCTGCCTAAAATCTTTTGCTGGCTTCCCAGGGCTCTTCAGATAAGAATTCTTTGTGTGGCCTATAAGGGCCAGTGTGATCTCATCCCTGTAAACTGGCAAGATAAATGAGCTCATCCCATAGTTTCAGAATATCACGATGTTGTTTAAAAAGTAAATATTTAAGCTTCTGTTTTTTTAATAATGCATAACATTTAATAAGTTAAATGCATTGATTAATTATAGAATGAAGTTTGCACTTGTGGATATTTTTAAGCATTAGTAACACACGATCATATATAAATCTTATTAATCTTTCTGAATTTCTTTCTTAAATGTAACCAAATTCATTTTATTATAACATGTGCATTACTATATACATGTACAAATACATATAACAATATATATTGTATTTATATCCTATACATAAATAATTTATGTAACTAATTTATTTCACCGTGTGTGATACCTGTCTCATGCCTTTGGAGAACTGGAGATAGGGAGGCTGGGACACTCCTCCCGTGTTGTTTAGATTACTCATCTCAGAGTCTGAAAAAGAGGGTCCGCTTCATGCGTGTGCGATTTGTGCACTTGCCAGGGCCTGCACTTAGAAGAGCTTCACGTTTGGTTTATGGTTCAAATGACAAACTGTGTAAGTGTTTTACACAGTACCTAGGACATGATAAACACTCAACAAATGTAGCTATCATCATCGATAGGATTTTTCCTCCAGGATTTTAATCTATTAAATAGTTACCTTATTGACAGGAATAATGTTTTTGACGTTGTAGTAGAAGCCAAAATAAACCATGTTGAAAACCCCATGACGTCCCAAAGTTGCTGTAAATCCTTTGTTGAGGCCCTGGAGTCCCAAGCCTTCCTTCTTAATGATGTGTCTTGCATAACTCATAGTGGATGGTTGCTGCAGGAGAGAGGGGCAAAGCCAGGAAGATTATCTTTGGGAATGTGAAATAGAGTAAATTCTGAATGTAGCCTCCTTTCAAGCCAGAATCGTTAGAGACTTTTTTCCCCCCAAACATGAACAATCATGCCTAAATCCGTGCTTTTAAAATTAGGAAACCCAAAAAGTAAACAAAATTGCATGCATAACAACAGGCCTTAAAGGGAAGATTGTTGGCAAAGAAAAACATAGTTGGTGGAATTAGTGAAACTCATGTCATGTAATAACTATCACCACTTTCAACATGTAAATAGTTGTATCCGATTCTGGATTATCCACACTAATGGAAGGGATTAGGCATATGGATACACTGGTAGTCCATAACCGTGTGTAATCCGAAAGGAATTTATATTTGGTTCATGAATTCAGCATATTTACCTTTCTAATTACGTTTTTCTAAAGCGGATGTTACAGTTAGTCTTGATTCCATTACCTCAATAGTTTAAACTGACACTAGGTTAGAAATCGGGCACGGATAAACAGCAGTTGATTGTAGACTTACTTCCTCAAGAGAGCAGGCAATCAATGTGTGTATTACTTGCTATGATAGATGATAAATCAATAGTGTTGGGAGTACTAGGTTACTTTAATTTACTCCTTTCTAACCCTCTGATTGATTACCCGAGGTTAAAATACCTTGGCTGCTGAAATCCAGTCTATTGCTACTTGTGGAACATGGTAAAGAGCTCACCATAGTTTGCCCTGAGGTTTATAATTCATTACGATTACAACTTCTATGGGTTTAAAAAAAAAAAGGTTGAGCGACTGTTTCCTTTCTGGAGGTATAGTACAATCAGTATCTCTCCTTGTTAAATTCTGACTGAATAGCAAATAGGGGGAAGTATTCGGTATTTATTTATTTATTTTGCCCATGAGGCAAGCGGCTGACATGACATTTGTTTGCTATTTCACTGGAGCAGGTTGCTGGAGCGGTTGTGGCAGTCTGATGTGCTCTCTGACTAAAGAGTTTTCTTATCATATGCAATTAGAGCTGCATCAGCAGAGCAGCATAGAACAAATCCAATCAAGGCTTTTCATCCAACTTGTATTTATAGCTATGTGATTAACATGATACATTAAATGAGCTTGTTTATATGGTAAATCCTATAGTTTTTGCTCATAAATGTTTTTAAAACTCTAGCTACAATTCTACACTCAGCTTCCTCTTTTCATTTGAGAGGATTAATTACAATAAATTATATTAAGCTTAAGAAAACCCTTGTAATATGAAAAAAATCACAGGAGAATGTATCTTAAAACAATAAAAGACATTTCATATAGGAAAACCAAAAATTTTCAGAAGGTGAAAGTTCACTCTCTGTTTTACAAAATGGGACTTTGTTTGTGTTCTGGCACACTGACTATCAACCCGAATTGTTTATTTTGCTTTTCAAAATAGACCTAAGGACAAGTTGAGCAGAAGTTCATTTCTGTTGGAAAGACTCTAGAAGTGCTGAGCAAACTGCTAGGCACTGCTCTCTTTCTTTGAGGAAGGCAGTCTGGAGGGCAGAGGAAAGAGGAGGTGGCTTTCCTGGGGATGGAAGGAATAGGGCCAAAGTGGGGCTGCCTGGGTCCAGCCCGACCAACACTGGTGCTCCCTGCATCCAGACCGAGCTTTCTCTCCATCCTCACTCACTCTGAGGCCCTGAGGGCAGGAGAGATGAGAACTCAGAGTCCATCTAGATCCTAGAGCAACAGAGGAACCATCAGCTTTGAATGGAAGTGCAGATTAACATGACTTTCCCTAAATAAAACAGGTTGAAAGATGTTTCCATTGTTTAAAAATGCTAGTGTGCTAAATTATCAGAATTAAAAGAAAAGACTTCTACTAGATCTTGGTGAGGATGAGCAAATATTCAAACGACATAGACTGATAGTCTATTGCCTGATTTTCACTGGCTTAAGTGTTAGGTGGGTACAAAGAAGTATAACATGGATTTGGAACTCAAGTGTCTTGTCGAGTTTGAACTCTAGTTGTGAATCATTAGGAAAATCAGAGAGTAGTATAGTAGCTAGAAATAAGGGGTCAGAACACACACAACTCCGGGTTTGAGTCTCAGCATCACCACTTGCTAGCTCAGGGAATTATTTTACCCTCTGATTTATCCTCACTTTACTCACTTGTGAAATAAAGATAATAATAAAATCTTCATAGGATTGCTGTGATGTTATATAAGTCAATGAATTTTGTCCTGTGTAAGCATTCACTGTACGTTAGCTGTTAATAATAATAGCAATTGTGCTGATAATAAAAAGTAGTTATAATAATAAAATAACAGGTAATTATTTTGTTCGTTGAAGGTGACAACAATCGAAAGATGGAGGCTGATTTGAGGGAGGGGAAGGATATGCAAAACTAGTCTCTTCTTTCTCATTCTTTCTGGCTATCCCTTCCTTTTACCCAGAGCTCTGGACCCTTGTGACAAAGCCTAACAGAAATGCCTCCAGAGTGCAAGATCATAGGTCTGCTTCCTCTGAGGCTCAACCAAATCTAATCCCTGGGCTGGAGATCTCTTTCCAGGGATAGTTTCTTACCCCAGGGGCTTTCCTCTCTGGAGCAGTAGGTCCTGCAAATTGGCCTCTCCCCTATCCCCTGGTAAGCATCTCCCTAAGAACTCTCTACTTGGTAAGTGTACGGACTATAGAAGCAAGGCCACAGAGGAGCAAAGATTGGGATTGGAAAAGCACATTAACCGGGTCTCCACTTCACACAGTTTATAGCCCAGAGAGCACAGTCATGCATGTTACTAAGTACCTGGAACACAGTAAGTGTTCATCAGTATTATCCATTATCATAGATGCTTAGTACTTGACGTATATCATCTTATTTAATCTTTTCAACAAGTGTTTGAGATTGGTATTATCAATACCCCCATCTGACAGATGAGGAAACTAAGTTCCTGGCTCAAAACCACAGAGTCGGTGGTAGTGCCAAAGCTCAAACAGAGCCCTGCCACCACCCCAGACTCCAAGTTTGTACTTTTATTCTCTGCACGGTCCTGTCATCCTAGCATATATGATTGCTTCTCTCAACAGCCCTGTAAGGTGGGCAGCAGTTATATTCTCCTCATTTTGCAGTGAGGAAACCAAGGATTATTAAGTAATACTCCCAAAGTGAAAACACTGGTAAATGGCTTCACCAGACTTCTGCATCAAATTCGGTGCTATTCACATTCTGTGGACTCATTCTTGTTATAAACGTGTGGTAAGTTTTTTAGAATTTGATAATCCAACTTATTAGGTGACAGATACATAATAACAGATATATTTTTTTCTGGCAACTTGGGGCCTCGAGATAAAGAAAAACCTGAACTCTAATTCCCATAAAAATTAGAAATGTGCTTTTTGTTTCATTCAGCGACATTGTGTCACACACATGTAAGCAAATATTTAATTAGAAAGGCAAAACACGACTTCCACTAGGATGCTTAAGTAGGAAAATATAGAGTCATTTTGACTAGATCTCTGTAAACACAAGGAATTTTACTAAACTTATTTGATTACTGGGCTTCCATTTCAAAACAAAATGGTGACTGATTAGCATCATCAGCCAAATGATTCCCAAACTATCCAACCCAGCAGGTCACCCGCCAGTTCAGTTTCCTTCTAATATTTAGAGTCATTCCAATTTTCATACCTAGTTAACAATTGTGGGCAAAATGGCATTTTAACTTTCTTAGATATAACTTTCATCGACTGCACCAGAGCTGCAAGCATGGAAGAATAGGTGGATTGGAATGCTGCTACTATTGTGATACCACATTGGTTTATAGAAATCTCAGCTCACTAGTCCCTGCCAGAAGTACTTCCATCTGAAAGAACTCAAAGTCTTCTTTCACTCTGATTTCAGCTATTGCCAACTGCCAATTCTGAGAACTCCCTGTTGTCTCATGCATCGTTTATTCAACAACATCTACTGAGAGCCTCCTAGGTGTCATGTACTGTGTTAAGTGTCTAGTATAGTACTTGGCTCATATTCTAGAAACTTAAATTTTTGCTTTGATTTTTATTTGGAGAGATATGCTGATATTTTTATATCTACCCATGAACTATTTCATGATGGTTATGAAATATGGAATCAAATTTCTGTTTTAAAAGTCCTTAAGAAGCTTAAAGAAAAGAGAAGATCCTTTGCCTACACAATGCTTCCCGACACCACTCCGGGGCACTGATTCCTTACTCTCTGAGAGCCTGGTATTACCAACAAATCGCTGATGACTTATGGCAGCCTGAGCTATTTTTCCTGGAGTTCTTCCATCCAACTACTGACCATAGCTGACTTTGATTAGCTTGGGAGATCACAGACAGAGGTTTTAGGCAGCAGGAGCTACTCCCTGGGTAAACAGCTATCAGAGAATGGCTAATAGATACGGGTGTGGGGTGTGTGTCAGTGGATTTCCTCCATCTCTAAAGCCAGAGAAGAGCTCTAGGCACACCATGTCAAAAGCACGCTCCACATGTGTTCCTTTCCTTGCTTCCTATGGCAAGGTGAATTTTGCTGCATTTTAGAGCCAATAGAACATGGGTGTTGCATTGGATTTCATCACATGGCTGAAAAGCAAACCGGATGAGACTTTTATACAATGGAGTGAGTGTACATATCCGGGCCTTCAGAGAAATATTGCTTTGTTAAAAAAGAGGAGACCCAATTGCTACATTTAGGTAGGAAAATAACCTTGCTCTTCAGGAGACAGAAGATAATTTGTGCTTTTCATTACACAAATGAAGTCTCGAAGCATTTTCATACATTTAAAAAAAGAAAAAAGAAAAACCTTCCTTTTTATTTGAGAATAAAATATAAGTAAAAGGAGAGGAATTAGGCTAAAAATTCCACATTTACCATTTATTTTAGCTTAGATATTTCACTAATTCATCATTACAGTTTATTTGAATAGGACATGATTATGGACAAAAAGACACCCAAAGTATAATTATATTCTATCTAGAGTTTACATTTGATA